GGATGGTTGGATGGAGGGGAGAGGGTGGGAGATAGTGGGGAGATGGATGGGAGATGGAGGGATGGTTGGATGTAGGGAGAGATGGATGGTGTCACATCCCGCTCAGATGAGATGGTTGGAAGATGGATGGATGGGCGGATGGACGGATGGACAGATGGGAGATGGGGAGATGGATAAGAGGCTGGATGGGGGAAGATGGGGGAATGGAGGGATGGAGAAAGGATGGATGAGGTAAAGGAGGGAATGATGGAGGGTTGGAGGGCTTGAAAGATGCAGGGATGAAGGGATGGACAGATGGATGGATGGATGGATGGATGGATGAGTGGATGGATGGGTGGATGGATGGATTGGTGGTTTGGTGGATGACCAGCTGGCTGGACGGCCACGGCTGGTCAGGGCCAGCAGCAGGGCACCAGGCACAGCCCCCCCAGCCCCCCTAACACCCGTCTGGCAGCTGGGGGGGCGCTGCCCGATCGGCTGCAGCAGGCGCTGCTGCCCGTGGTGGGCTACGAGCGCTGCACCCAGCCCGACTGGTGGGGCGCCCTGGCCATCCGCCGCACCATGATCTGCGCCGGCGGCGCCGAGAAGGCCGGCTGCAACGTGAGTGCCATGCCGGGCCTTGGCGGGGGGGCACACACACGCTGGGACCCCACCCCAGTGATGATCCCCGCTTCCACTCCATCCTGTACCCCAGGGCGACTCGGGGGGTCCCCTGAACTGCCAGGCGGCTGATGGGCACTGGGAGGTGCACGGCATCGCCAGCTTCGTCTCCGGGCTGGGCTGCAACGCGCCCAAGAAGCCAACGGTTTTCACCCGCGTCTCTGCCTTCGAGGACTGGATCGCCGAGGTGGGGGACGGGGGGCACAGGGTGCTGGGGTGCCAGGATGCTGTGGTGCTGGGGCACCAGGGGACAAGGGTGCCAGGGTGTCGAAGGTGTCAGGTTGCTCAGGGTGCTGGGGGGCCATGGTGCCAGGATGTTGGAGTGCTGGGGTGCGACGGTGCTGAGCAATGGGGTGCCAGGGTGTTAGGGTGCTGGGGTACCAGGGTGTCGGGTGTCAGGGTGTTGGGGTGCTGAGCAATGGGGTGCCATGGTGCCAGGGTATTGGGGTGCCGGGGTACCAGCGTGCTGCCGGGGTGCCCTGAGCAGCTTCTCCCTTCCAGACCATGAACAAGAACTGAGCGTGGCGACAGCGGTGACAGCAACCTCCCAGCCTGGCATCGGGCAAATAAACCCAGAGCGCTGGCAACCACATGTGTCCCTGTGCTGGGGTGGGGGCACACGTGGGGGTGGCAGGTGGCACTGACCAAGCGGGTGTGGGGAGCACCCACAGGTGCCCAGATACCGCGGGGATGGGCACCCAGTGACGGTTTGCCCCGAGGAGCCGTGATGCCATGGGGAGGGGCACTCATAAATGGCCAGATACCACAGGGATGGGCACTCAGTGACACCCTGGTGCCACGGGGACAAGCACCCTGAGGTGCTCTGAAGCCACGGGGATGGGCACCATGATGCCAAAGGGACAGGTACCCCAAGAGACCCTGATGCCACAGGGATGGGCCCTGAGGACACAAGGGGTGGCCTCAGCCACACGCCCTGAGGCCATAGTGATGGGCACCTGGTGACACCCTATCACCACAGGGATGGGCCCCCCCTGAGGTGCCCCAAGGCCCCGGCGATGGCCCCCTCCAGGCGCCCCAAGGCCAGGGCCAGCCATGGATGTGGCTCTCCCACCGCCTCCTGCCCTCCCGGCCCAGCCGTCGCTTCGCAACCGCCGCCACCGGCGCGTGACCGGCAAACAAAGAGCCCTTTCACCGGTGACCCCGTCGCGGCCAGCACCCCTGGGACCCCCCAACTGGGGCACCCCAGGTCCCCCAACTCCAGCCAGGCACCCCACAGCGATGGGTGCTACAAGCACCCCCCGATTCCCCTGGAGATCTGGATGGAAAATTCCTGCCGCGGGGCACCGGGGCTGTATAAGTTTTATTGGCCCCTTGTCACTGTGTCCCGCGGGACCTTTGCTCTCCCCGCGGTGGCCCAGTGTCGTCGCCATCGTCCGCCAGTGCCGCCCCGGCACGCTGCGGCCCTGCTGCTATCACGGGTCCTTTGCTCAAGGAGGGAGGGGGAGCTGAGGCCGCCCCAACTCGTGACACCCTTGCACAAGTGGGTGCCGTCTGCTGAGGGCCCCAGGGAGGGGGAACAGGGGTGACCTAACCCGGCAGCACCCGGCTGAGCCAGCGGTTTCTTATCGGCACCAGCTGTGACCCCCGGCAGCGCTGGCGGTGTGAACTGGCGGCGAAACGGCTCGGGGTCAGGCGCAAATGCCCCACGGTGGCAGCAGGGTGCTGGGGGCTGGCATGGGTGCTGTGGGACCGGTATGGGTGCTGTGAGCATGGCCTGGGTACTCTGAGACTGGCGTGGGTGCTACAAGCCTGGCAAGGGTGCTGCGGGACTGGTATGAGTGCTGTGGGACTGGTATGGGTGCTACCAGCATGGTATGGGTGCTGTGAGCCTGGCATGGGTGCTGTGGGATCGGCACAGGTGCTGAGCCAGATGTGGTTACTACAAGCCTGGCACGGGTGCTGAGAGCGTGGGATGGGTGCTGTGAGCCTGGCAGGGCTGGTGCAAGCCTGCTATGGGTGCTGCAAGCCTGGCAAAGGTGCTGCGAGTGTGGGATGGGTGGTCCACACCTGGCCCGGGTGCTGCGAGCCTGGCACAGGGCCTTTGGGGCTGGCACGGGTGGTACGAGCCTGGCACGGGTGCTGCGAGCCTGGCATGGCCCCCTGGCCCCCCCCAGGGCAGCTCCTCCCTCGCCGGTGGTGCCAACCGCCTCCGAAAACCCCCGTGTCCTCTGGCCGGACCCACCCCCGGCACGGTGACTCAGCCAGCCAAGCTTTTCCTTATATAACGCGGCGTCACCGCCACGCCGGGCCAGCGCCTGCTCAACTGCCCCTGCCTCAGTTTCCCCTCACCGGGGTGTCACGGTCACCGTCGCCGCAGCCATGTGGATGGTGTCACCGCCGGTCGGTAAGTGCCAGCTCGACGCCCCGATGCCGCTCGGTCCTTTCACAAAAATTGCTGGTTTCAGGGGTTTAAGAGGAAATTTAAGGGTCAGCGGGTGAGCACCGCTTTCTCCGCCCTGTGAATTGGGGCAGAAAAGCGTAAAAAACATCAGACAGCCCCCCCCCCCCCCCCCCCCCCCCCCCCCCCCCCCCCCCCCCCCCCCCCCCCCCCCCCCCCCCCCCCCCCCCCCCCCCCCCC